CTACCAGGCTGTTTTCCATCCCGGGGTTATTTCTCCAGCTCAGTTCATGTTTATAGTGGATTAACCTGCTGTGAGGAGCCTAGGTATTATTTATGGCTAATTATTGGCATTTGGCTGGCTGGGAGGATGGAAGGAATACGATACTGCGGTGCTTACACGGCTTGTTCCAAACTGCGTTCGGCTCCTTCGGCTGAGTGTGCGTGTTTACGATGCCAGCTCACGTTATTTTCATTACCCCCTCTCCACTAATAAACTTTCGGATGAACCAGACTTGAGAGGAGCAAATCCTTTGCAGAAGATGTTCTGGTGTCTTTCCAAAGACCCGTTGTTGAGAAATCAAGGGCGCAGCCGCACTCCGGGACGTAAGGAGTTCAGCTGCGGTGGATCCGCCGCATTTGCATTGTATTAACTCCGGCTGCCGGCTGCCAAACGGCGCGCTCTTTGCATCTGAAAATAATAAGGCTGCGGGAATAATAGTCCTAAAGTGAATTTTCAAAGCATCTTTTAAAAATACCAAGGCCAGGCTTGTGCTTATGCTCAGGGCTGCCTGCGTGGTCAGAGAGGGGGCAGATGGGTGGCACCAAGGGCTTCAAAGGCAGGAGGAGAAAACGTCCCCACGTCAGAGTTCATGGAAAGGAGAGGAGCAAGAGGTAACATCCTGCAGACCCATCCCTGGGGCAAGCAGAGGGGATAAATTCAAAAATGCCAGCAGCTCAAGGAATTCAGTGGACAAAGGAAAGTGATGGTTTTCTCTACTGGTGGCTACTGTTAGGTGGAAAACTTGTTTCTTTTTGTCCGGGAGATGGACAAAAAGGTAATTCAGCCCTAGGGATTGCAGCAAGTTGATGCCAGGCATCTCCAGCACAGCTGCCTCCACCCCAAGTCCCCAAATCCTGTCCCAGACCATGGACTGATGCTCTGGAAGAGGCGTCCTGCAATGAAATATTGACTGACCCAAGGGCAAAAAGTAGGAGCAGTGAAACTGGGAAGCTGGATGGGATCAGGACTGGTTTTGAGCTGTTTTCTTGAGCTCAGTGGATGGGGAGATGTTGCTCATGTGGCCACACAACACCAGGGAGGGACAGTGGCAAGAGGCTTGCTGGCTGTCATCCTTGCCACCCAGCTCTGCTGCACCCACAGTGCTGCTGGGTGCTTTTTTGCCATTTATTTGGGGTGAGAAAATGCCCCATTTCCATGGACACGACCTCTCCTACCAACAGAAAATCCTGCAGCTGAAGCAAAACCCTACAAGCACTATGATATGGGTAACTGAACACGGGAGGATTTGGGGATGGGTTAGCTGGTGACCAAGCCACTGTGACAATTTCTCCATCTCCTGTTCAATTTAGTGCGGGGTCACGAGGTCCAACAAAGGCAGGTGATGTTCTTGTCCCCACTGAAGCCAGATGGCAGCACATCCCCTCTGTGCCTGGACACCCTGGGACTATTTTTAAGCTCTGGGTTTAAATGCTGCCCGAAGACCCTGGTGGAGTGGATGAGCCCTTCGCGTGACGCTCAACTCCCAGCCCCGAAGCACCTCCAGACCCAAGCTTCCCTGCTCCGAGGGGGGATGCGAAGGGTGTGATTTAACGACAAAAAAGCTGGTTTTTAACTGATGTCATCATCCTGCTGACAGTCCTGCCTGCGGCTGGTGGCTCCTCCAGCTCCATTCCTTGTGGATCCATCTTCCAAAGCGACAAATCGAGGCCTTGAATGGGTTTTTAGGGAACGTCCAATTTGGTGGCCACCAAACCAGCATCATATGGAGGTCCTGCACCTGCACATGGTGGGTCCTGGGGAATCCTCCATCCATACAAAGATGAAGCTGCCGTGCCCCTTCCAGCACTCCCCACACATTTCCCATTTGCATCATCTCCCTGGAGAAGATCTTTAGGATGGAAGAAGATTTTCAGAGGTCTGGGCAAAGAGGAACCCTATGACCTCCAAGGCCACGCTTGCCTCAGGCAGAAACCGCTCTTTTGTTCCCCATGCATCAGCACAACAAAATTCTTTATTGCTGCACCTCGCTGAGCAATTTTTATTTATTTCTTCAAAATCTTAAATAAACCTGTTTTTTAAAAGTACCTCTGGAACAAGGGAAATGTATTATTATGGTAATTGTCTTGTGCTAATTATACTTATTACTATAATAACCGTTTTGTTGTCACACAAATAAAGTGGATTACATCATTTGTAAGTGCCAGAGGCAAGTGATGGCTCTGGAGCAGCGAGCAGGCGAGTTATGCGGGTTTTCATGCTTGGCTTGGGTGAGATGGCTTGGGGATCCAAAGGGAGCTGATTTGGGTTTCAAGGGAAGATGATTTGGGTTCCAAAGGGAGCTGATTTGGGATCCAAAGGGAACTGATTTGGGAACCGAACAGAGCCAATTTGGGATCCAGAGGGAGCTGATTTAGGATCCAAATGGAGTCAACTGGGGATCCAAATGGAGCCGGTGGATCTGTTGGGTGGGGAGGATGAAGCCTTGAAGCCTGCAAACCCCTCTGAGGTGCCGTCAAAGGGTGGGTGATGAAGGCAAGGAGAGGGGAAGGAGGGATGCTGCTGCTCCTCCAACAGTGCCCTCCTGCTGGCCCCGGTCACCTCCCTCATCCTCGGATGGATTTTGGGTGCTATCAAGGATGCGGCGGCAAAACCACCCCTACCCAATCCACCTTGCAGCCTCTCCTTGGAGGCAGTGAGCCTGACGCCACCTCTCCCTCCAGTGAGCCCCTGTATGCTCCGGGGCTGGCACCCCGCGGCTGGGGAAAGTCCCGTGTGGGTGCTGCGGGTCCTCGGCCCCGCTCGGCTCCGCTCCTCGCCCCGGGGCCGGCGGCGCCGACGCCTCGGCATGCTGCAGCAGGTCGGGCGCGCCCGCCCATCCAGCGTGAGCGGCTGGGGAGGCGCCGGCCGCCGTCGGGGTTTTGGGGTGAGTTTTGCACAATTTGGGTCCTGCAAAGTGCTTCGAGTCCGCCCTCCCACTCCTCCTTCACGAATTGTCCCCAGTTTCCCCTTTGCAGCCCAGCTTTCCTCTTCCAGCCTCAAAAAAAAAAAAAAAAGCAAAGAAAGGAACAAAAAAAAAAGCACCAAGCCCCAAACAAGCAGCTCTTCGTTTTCCAGGCCGTTCGATAAAAGGAGGTGTTTTACCTTTTTTTGTGCGTGTGCGCATGTCTGTGTGTGTGTGTGTGTGTGTCTCCTTCCTCCTCTCTCTCTGATGGGCCCCTGGAGCTTATTTTACACGAAAGCAACACAGGTTGATGTATTTTTAAATGGCTTGATTTTATCACCCTGCTTAATGATTTGTCGCGTTATTTATTAGACAGTGTGATATCCAGAGGGATTCATCGCATTAACGTATAAATAATGTGGCAAATAGTTCAATAGAGCCATAAAAAAGGGGATTTAGAAATAAATTGACCTATGTTTGCTACATGTAAACGAAGGTGGTGAATGATAATGTGTGTCATGCCCTTAAGCGTGAAAAATGGGGGCCACGAATAAATCAGAAAGTTTCTTTAGCATGTAAAACTGCCAGGCAAAACCAAAAACCCCGAAGTTTGGGGATTTTTACCCATTTTTTTGGCCCTTTGCTCCAGCCCTGATGACGTTTGGATGTGGCCGCGCATCTCCTGCAGGCTCGGAGGTGCTCAGAGGGACGCGGGTCCCTCCCTGCTGGGAGGTTTGCAGGATCCGGCACGGCACCTCCGCAATAAATAAGACCCCGCGTCCTTATCGACGCCCCACAATGCTGATTAAAGCAATAACCCAAACCGCTCCGCGTTCCCACGCTGAGTTACGAGTTCACAATACCGCCTGATGTTGGGCAATAATTATTTTCGAATCGGGTTTTTCCTTGCCTGGCCAGCCCACCGCCTCCGAGGCAGACCTGGGGAGCTTTTCCTTCTGATGGGGGAGGCAAAATCACAAAATCCAGCACCGGGGTCAGCCGAAATCCCGCCAGCCCCAACCCGTGCACAGCTTTGGCTCAGAAACGCAGGCACCATTGCCTGCCAGAAAGATATCTGATCTCGGCATCGGTGCCAAATGATTTTATTCCGCAGCTGTAAGACAGATCGCTATTTTTTCTCTTTTACAACGTGCTACGGTTTAATTATTTAACACCATGGGGGTATGCAAGATGACACAGACAGTTGCGAGGGAGAGCGCGCCAAGCTAATTGATGGATGGCCCCGATGAAGGATTGACGGCGGTGCCAAGCAGAAGAGGAAAAGGGAATTTTCTGCTGGTGTCACGAGGCATCACCAGAAGAGTGGGGAGAAGAGGTGGGCACCCCCAGCTGGGCTCAGCACCCCCAAAACCGTTAGCCTGTTTGCACCCACCCGCCCTGGACCACGTGCCATCACGTGGCTAACTGCAAACTTTGGAGCTCCCCGCTTTGCAGAACTGTTGTTTGCAAACTCCAGGCTCCATTTGCAAAGTTTTGCAAAAAAATAAAAAAGAAAAAAAGAAAAAAAGAAAAAAAGAATCTTCCATGCTCTCGGTAGGGTTCTGCACTTCCTGCCTCAGTTTCCCCTGATCCACTTCGTAAAGCTGCTGTTGGCGGACAAGGGGAAGCTTGTGGATAAGAAGAGATTAATATTGTTAGCACTTTAGAGGAGCTTAAGGGTGTTGGGTAACTGATCTGTCTGCAAATTTGCTCCTTTTTTTGTGCCAACAGCAGCTCCGCAGGGCAGTCATTATCTCCCGACCGGCTTTGCTCTCTGCCTTGCTTCTATTAACCCCACCAGCAAACCCCAGCCTCCATCTGATTTGGCACTTTGGGCTCCTTTGCGAAGTATTTATTAACCTTGTGCAGGGGATGGGTTTTCCAGCAGGGAAATGCATCCGTTAGCAAACATTTCTTTCCTTTTCCCCCTCCTGGCTGCCTCCGGCTCAGTCCGGCTCTCGGAGAAAAACAACCCTCAGTGGCCAAACCTTCCCAAAACCCGGAGTCAGCTCATGGAGCCCTTCCCGGAGGAGGAGGGCAGGATCCCCGGGCTTCCTTCACGAGGAATAAACGCTGATTTTAGTAGCCAATTTGATTCACTTTTCAAGGAACAGGTTTTCATGCTTTGTGCATTTATTTCCTAATTTTATTATGCCATTTAATTAGATCATGCACATTGGTTTTATTGTTAAAACATGTCCTTGTTTTCTTTATAACTGGATTTCATGGCACTACAGGGACATTTAGGAAAATATCACATTCCAGCATCGACCGTCGAAATCAGACCTAGATCTGAACGGAGCTGCCGGCTCGTAAATCTCGCCCCAGATGGAAAAAGCGGGATATTATTCACAGCGTGCGGAGCGCCGGCGGTTCCGGGAAGGGCCGCGCACCCCCTCGGAGCACTGAAATTACAGCCCGAGGAGGGACAGCGAGGAAGGGCACCGAGGGGTTGTTTGCAGGATTCCTCTTTACGGGCTGATAACGGCCGGGGGCTGCCCCCCCGAGATGCTGAGCTCTGCCGATGGGAAAGCTCTCCGCTTTCTCCTCTTGCCTTTGAGGTCTTCTCCTGCCGAGGAGCCGTTTCCCACGTCCCTTGCAAAAGCCATGTGCGACCCAAGCGGGATGGATTAGCGCGGTCTTGAAGGGGAGCTGGGGAGGAAGGGCGACTTTGCTCGCCGTGGGTCGGAGCAGATGGCTGGAAGCGATGAGGAACGGGGTCTGGGAACTTCCCCCGGGATGCCTGAGAAAGGGGAAGGGAAAAGAAAAAAAAAAACGAGGAATCCGCAGATTTTTAGACACTTGATCAGATGGTTGGAGGTTGACTACAGGAAACTGAGAGCCTGGGGCTTTGTCTGCGGGTTCCCGAGGGCTGGGGGCTGGCGGGGGGCTGGAAGGGAGCCGGCGGGAAGCAGAAATCAATTAGTGCTGGGGAGAACTTGAGCCGGTTCAGACGGATCCATTTGGAGGAGGCACGCAGCGAGCGGGGCCGGGCCGCGCTGCAAATCATCGGCGAGAGGCACCGCACGTCCTCGGCTGTAATTCATGGCAGAGCGGGTCCCATCCTGCCCCCTGCATCCAGCCCTGGCTGCGAACCACGCGGTGGACAAGCGGCTTTAGCGGGCTCAGCTTGCTCTGGAGTTGGTCACCGAAAGGTCTGGCTGACGGGTGCCATTTGGGGTGCTCTGCCTTGGAGGGGATGCTCTGCACGGGGAGGTCTTCACGCGTGGTGCAACCTGCCCTGGCCTTGAGGCCAAATGGGGTGGAAAGGGCTTTTTGGTGATTGCTGGACGCTGGGACATCTCAGCCTCTTCTCTTCTTTCTTCCCGCTGCCAGCACCCAAGGAGACGCAAGGAAAAGATGAGGGCAACCAGGGCTGGTGGGTCAATGGGAGCAAAGCAGAAGACCTTTGGTGCTGGAGGGATCTGGAAGGGAAAGGAGACGCTGGGAAGGTGGCTGCTCCTTGGGAAGATGCCCCCAGGAAATAGGAAATCACATCCCATTGGAAATTAGATTTGAAGCACATGAAGACAGTGAGCACGGTGACCCAGCGATGGCACTGATTTTCCTACAGCTCTTCCTCCAAATGGTTCCCATGAGACCTGGGGCCACGGGAAGGTCTCTTTTCCAGCCTTCACCCCATCCACGGCTCCTTTGCCTCCAGGAGCCTGGAAAACCAGAGCCCAGAGCCAACACAACGTGCCATCGGCACCTTCAGCCCCTCTGATGCTTCATCCCCTGCAATAAACAGGGAGGTTCATCACCTGCCCCCGGCACAGGACCCCTTTTACAGCCTGCTGCAAACCCCACAGCTCGGGACACGTCGGCCCTGATTTACACCTGCAGAAACAGCCGGCGCCAACGGGGTGCAGGTCCTGAGCCCCGCAGCAGGCTGAAGGCACCCGCAGCATCACCGCTTCAGCTCCAGCCGGGATGGATTTGGCCCAACTCGTTTAAAATTCCTTTCTCTGCACACGAAACCATTTTCTGCGAAGTTTAGCCTTGGGGAGATTTATTTCCTTGTTAGCTCAAGATTTTCCTATTAGCCCATCTCAAAGAAACATGGCTGCATTTTCTCCAGTGCACCAGCTGTTGTGCGAGATGCAGGTACATATTACAGCCGTCATTAAACGGGCTGTCATTCCTAGCTTCCTAATTACCGTATGAATAGAGAGTAGCATGAACAGAGCAGCCGATTGTTCCACTGTGACTTACACGGGGAATCAAAAATGGAAGATGCATGCACTGCACCCGGGTCTTTTCCCTTCGAAACCTAATTGGAAAGGAAACTCGAGTCGGATCTGGCCGCCCGCGTAGCGCCATGCCTCGTTTTTCAAGAGGGTTTTGCAAAAAGGAAAAGCCCCCGGTGTGTTTCCAGCCTCTCCCCCTCCTCGTTCCTCCTTTAGCTGGTTTGAAACGTGTAATTTAACAAAGCAGCACAACTGAAAATGAGGGAGGACAAACATATGGTAAAGTGGATGCAGGGAATATTCCAATAAGCAGTAATATACTGCGAAGATGTATCCTGGCTGCAGTCAGCAGGTTTTTGGTGGTTTTATGTGTGTGGGGTTTTTTTTTGTTGTTGTCGTCTTTGGGTGTTTTTTGTTTGTTTGCTTTTTTTATTATTATTATTATTTTTTTTTTTCATTAATAGCTCCATCCTTTGTTGCAGGAAGTCGTGGTGTAGTTTTCCACGGAAATTTCTTTTTCAAGCTCTTTCCCGTGAAAAATAAATAAATAAATATATAAATAAAAATCAGCATTGCTGCACCGGGGTCACAAAGAGCCCATCGGCGAGCGGCAGCACGCTCAGCATCCAGACGCCCTTGATTTGCAGCACCTATTACTGCCATTTTATAGACTGGTGAAGGAATAAAAATAAAAACACAACAAAGGACGGCACAGAGGTACCAAGGGCTGGTCCTGGCAAAGGGAAAGCCGAGGCTTTGTGCAAAATGTGATCCGAAAATGAGCTGAGACACAGCCAGCGCACAGGCTTGTGGTGCAGGAGCGACACCTGCAATCACCCAGGGTTCTCTGCCGTCTTCGGCACCCACTTGGGCAAGGTCTAGAGGGAGAGTTTGCTCGTGTGTGGTTTGGATTTCACCACTGCCAACCCACCCGGTGTCTGGAGACGTCCTAAAGCGTCCTGCCTTGTGGGGCCGCCAGCCGTCCATGAATGCTGCACCCCTGCTAGGGGGCGAGGAGCCCTCGGGGTCTCCTCTGCTCTCCCCAAGCGCATGAAATTTGGGAAAAATGAGGTTTGGGGTCTCCATCTGATGCAACGCATCCTGCCCTTCACAGGGCAATTTTTATGCTGAAAAGGGAGACAGGAACTTCACGGCATCCCCTTGAAATCATCAGCACATCAAGGTTTTGGGACCCCAGAGGGGCATCTCTGTGAGCTGTCAAGGGAGGCCAAGCAAGCAGACCTCGCCAAGACACCTCTCATCTTGTCATCTCCCACATCAAAGGGACAAATTGACCTGGTGGCACCACACCAAGGGTCCCACGAGGACAGCGGAGACCCGGCGATGCTGCAGCCACCAGGGAGGACACAGGAGAGCCCGGCCTCCACCGAGGAGTTACACCTCCTGGAGCCCTCAGATGGAAATACGAAGGGTTTTTCCTGAAGATGCATGAACCTGTCTGGGTGAAACGGGATGCGGGTGGAAAACCATCAATGTGCATCGTTCCCCGTAGAGTTTGTTTTGGGTGCAAATTTATTATGGCACAGGAGGCGTTATAGGCTAACGGGATGTACAAGGCCCAAGCCTGCAGCTCGTGGAGGGTAACACCAAGGCAGAAAAGCCAAGGAGCTCATTAGGGAGCAGACAATAGGCCACGAGACCTGGGAATGACACCGTTCCTATACAAAAATCCCCCAAATGGGTTGCTCGCCATCAACCCCAGCCCTTTTTTAAGGGAAGATGAGCCCTTTTGGACACCTCCAGCCCCACAACTCATCCTGATGTTTCCTGCTCCCTTCTCCTCCACCCTTGACCAAGACGACCCCACAAAAAGAGGGGGTGTGGAGGGGGTCTTCCCCCCCTCGCCCCGTCTTTGTTCCTCGCCAGCTCCATCTGCCCGGCTCCCCACCTGAAGGCAGCGCGGTCCCTCTGTGGCATCTCAACGCGTTGCCGTGGAAACCGCAAGATCCCGACCCGCGGATGATGGCTGGGAGCGGGAAGGGGAACAGCAGGAAACAGTTTCCATGCAAATACCCGTCGCAATAAAAGGCCAATAAATAAACACGCGGAGGAACTGGGGAGGAGAAGAAAAGAGGGAGGGGAGGGGGGGGGGATTATAAAAATGGGATAAAAAATGGGGCGCCGGCTCGCGCCTCAGGAGCTCGTTACCTGGAGCACGTAAACGAGCTTTGTGTTAATTGTGGCTTCGTTGGCAGAGGGGGGGGGGCGTTGGGCAGGGGTTAATGAGAGACCCCGGGGCTCACACGGGTCTGAAGGGTAATTAGCGCCAGGCCCTAACGAGTTCGGCGGTGTTGGGGCCGTGGCAGGCAGGGATGGAGGGGAGAGGTCCTGTGGGGCGCAGGCAACCCTATGGATCACATACGGGGTGGTTTTGAGGCGCCCCCATTGACCCAAAACCACCATTTTTCCCCCCAAAATGGACCACTTGGGTTTATATACCCTGGGATGGGGCGGCACGGGATTGGCTGGGAAGACGGGGTGGTTGCAGGGGATTGGCTGGAAGGAAAGCTAGGTGGCAGCAGAGGATTGGCTGGGAGCAGAGCGAGGTGGCAGCAGGGGATTGGCCAAGAACACAGCTGGCAGAGCGCGATTGGCCGAGGGCTCAGCCCCATGGGGGGACCCGGGCAGGATGCGCCCCCTGGGGTGCCGCAGTGGGGCAGGGGGCTCCCAGCGGGAAGGGGGCACCGGAGGTGGGCTGCGAACCTAGAGCGGGACGCGGCCCCTTTAGGATCTCCTCTTTGGGGCACCCCAAAAAAAAAATTAAAAAAAAATTAAAAAAAATAAAAAAAATTAAAAAATAAATAAAAAAATTAAATACATAAAATTAAAAAAAAAAAAAAAAAGAATTTTGGACCCAACCGCAGCAGCCGTAGCGGCGGGGATTACCCCGCTGCAGCGTGTGCCAGCTTGCAGCATCCCTCGGCTCCCAAGCCCGCACGTAGGATATCGTGCGAGGGGAGGGAGGAAGCAGGGACGTGGCTGGCCTTGAGCAAACCGTGGCCCCCGCGCCTCAATTTCCCTCCCCAAAATGCCAGGACGGCACCCAAAGTGGCCGTGGTCCGCCGGGGGCACGTTATTTGCAGGCCTGACTTGGGCACCGTAACCGTGTCCCCCATGGGGGTTTTGTTGGCGTAATTACAGTTTGTGTAAGCGGCCACACCTCTAACCGAAATAGCTGTGACCGAGCCCAGTTTGCGTGCAGATCCACCAAAACCGGGAGGGAAAGAAACGCGGAGAGCGTTTTTGGCAAGATGGAGCGTTTTTGGTAAATTCAATTTCCATGCAGAAATATTGACCCGTGTTGGGGCTGAGTGGAGGAAAAGCAAAGCGAGGTCCGACCTCAAAGCTCTGTGACCACTACCAGGAACCCAAAGACCACGGTGATGGGTGCCCATGGCAGAGCCCAGCGAGGAGCAGGATTTACGGGGCCGTATCCTGCCGTAGCCGCCCGGGCTGTTTGAAGCACTGGGACTGGTCCTCGTCGGTATTTCAGCTGCATCCTGCTCAACGTTCCTGGCTCCCATCATGGGTGATGGATGGAGCGTGGTGTGGGACCCAAAATTTGGGGATTTCTCACCCCAGCGATGAAGTCTGCACCCCTGGGTGCAAGCCCTGAATGGCTGCTCACTTGTGCATGTCCCCGATGGATTTGGGGCCTGGAGCAGCATCCCTGCCAGCCCCAGGGCTTGCGTTTTGGAGAGTGGTGGCACCCAGCGGCCCTGCCACCAGGGGCAGGATCCGGCCCTGGCCTCCGTGCACAGCAGGGACCCCTCTGCCCTCCCTCCCCCCAGACCACGTGTATTCCCAAACCTCCGATTCCCTAATTTTTCCTTTTAAAAAAACCATTAAGGTTATACAACCACATTAGATGTCTCCTGACGGACAAGAAAGGACACGAATCCAACCTTTCATCATTCCCACCCCCAAATAAATCCAGACAAGGTTCCTTTGTAGCAGCTAAGCTGAGACACCTTAACATTTCCCTGCTAGCAAGCTCCAAGTTTCTTTACTCACCATATATTTCCCCTGACAGTTTGTACAGATACTTAAGACACCATATAATTATCATCACAGCTAAAAGGCAAGGGGTGATTTATTTGTGACAAGCACCACCTTTCCGCGATGACGCCATTGACACTTACACCGAGGGTTTTTTTGGCGTGGGGAGGTGCGGAGATGCAAAGCTGGGCTGCTTTCTCCTCCGTCGGCAGTTTTTTTCCCCAATGCTCGTCCTCTCCCCGCAGGCGCTTCGCTGCCAGACGCCCGGATCCGGCCCCGGGACCGTCCCCACCAGCCCCAAGGCTCTGGAGGGTTTTGGATTTCGGGGCTTGCCCCATCGCTCGGGCCGGCGCGAGGCTCGCCGTCTGCACGTCTTTTTACTCTTGGCGTGTGAACAATGCGTGCACTTATCTCAGTACTTATTTAGTGCCCGGCTCCACACCCTAAAATTGCCTGATTATAGCTTTCGGAGCCTGTGTGATGCATTGGGTTAGGCAAACAGATGTGCCAAGCAGTCTTGTTGAAAACCCACATCCAGGCAGCAGCTTTCAGCTCTCCAGGTTGTTCCCTTTTTTTTTTTTTTTTCCTTTTTTTTTTTTTTTTCCCCCCCTTCTCTCCCTCCCCCTTTTCCTTTCAGAAGTAGCTCTAATAATTGCCTTCATATTGCTCTCAGCGAGGGAAGGGCTGAGGAGAAGCACTCAATGGTTCAGCCACTTGCCAGTAATTTTCTCTGCAAGGAATGGGCCCCTCCATAGCCAAGAACTCATGACTCTTTTGCCTGGTTGTCTCCTTGCCTAGAACAAACCCACCCCCTCGCCTCCTCCCAGCCTCCTCCGCCAACCGAGCCGCCAAGGCGTCTCCTCTCCACTTGTGACCTCTTTGGGTGCACGTCTCCGCACGGCATGATCCGCGTGGGGAAGGCGAGCAGGGATGGGCACGGTTGGGGCCTTCACCATCCCATCCTCTACCTCTCTGGGGCACCTCCTAATCCCAACAGCCACCCCGAAAGGGCTTGAAGGGAGAGCGTAATGTGTCGGACGTGGTGTGGAGAAGCGTGGACCAAGAGGTCTTTTGCTGAACCCCTGCCACGCGTCGTGAACTTGTCCAGTTCTCCTTTTGGAGCCGATGGAGACAACTGGGCACCTTGTAAGGAGCATCTGGGCCACTGAGATGGCCAAATCAGCACGGGAGGAGGTTTTTAGGAGAGATCCACTGATGATAAATCCTTTTGTGACTGCTGATGGACAAGATGAAGCTTTACCCAAGAAGACAGGCAGAGATTTGACGGGAGTCTCTTGGTTCCTCCAGATCCTTCTCCTGACCCCTAACCCTTCACGATGGGAAACCTCCACCTGGGGAATGAGAGACCTGAGCTGCCCAAACTCAACCGCTGGGCCCCCGGTGTTGCTGCTCGCATCGGTGCAGCCCCTAGCCCCACTTTGCTCTTAGGAGCTGCTCTCAGGTGCCCGTAGCTGAGGTCTTCCCACCTTTATGGTCCACTGGTTGGGTTCTTCCTCTGAGGAGCATCTGGTCCCACTGGGGATGGGCTCTTTTGGAACAGCACGGAGGGACCCCAACCCAACGAGCCAGATGCCTGCCCACCCGCACACAGGCTAGCCCCGTTCCCACCCCAACCCCATCCCCTGCCCCAGTAACACTGGGCATGGAGAATGAGGATGGTGGTGGGTGATGGATTCTCTCCTCCTCCCCTCCAGGCGTGCCACCAGCGCTGCCGTTTCCTACGCTGATTTCTCCCCCCTTGCTCTGGGAAGCCAGAGCTTTCTCCCTGCCTCTGCCACGCTGATCCTAACCCTGCCTGCCCTCCCTTGCCCACTCTCACGTGCAGCGACGGGCTCAGACTAGCTCCTCTCCCAGCAGCATCTACCGCGGCTTTCTGAGTCACCCCCACGTTCCCGCGTGCCCCGGAGAAGTCGGGATTGCAACCGCTCAGCTCAGCGCCTTCGCCGCCTGTTTGCATCACCGGAGTGGCGAATTAATTCCCTCGGAGTGCTGAATTAAGCCCGTATATCCCAGCTTAGCTCCAGAACAGATCTCTTCCCTGCCCCACCTCCTGCTGATTCTGAAAGTTATTTAAAAAATGTCCTGGCATCAAACCAATGTTTTGTGGTTTAAAAAAAAAAAAAAAAAAAAAAAAAGAGAGAGATTAAGAAACAAAAAGATTAAAAAGGGAAACTACTGTGCTCCCTGCTATTGCATTAGGGCGATGCCAGACTGTGTGCAGCCAGCTTCCTACAGGGATGCATAAAGGGGCAGAGTGAACCCTGCTTTGCTCAGGGTGGCTGGAGCCACCCCATGGCCCATCGAAACCCTGCGACATCTGAATTTCAACTGGTTCCACCTGACACAGTCAATGGGGAAGCACACACACGCAGAGGACAATTTATCTGCGCTATCTTGGGTACCGATCTCCAGTGATTCACCCTCTGCAGGTGTCTCTTCACCTTTGACTATAACGGGAGCCTTTAATATCTCAGCCTTTATCAGAGACAGGTCCTACCTGTGCATCCACTTCTGAGCACTTCTTTCAAGAATGATCTTGGGGGACAAATAAAGAAAAATGCTGAGAATGATCCAAAGCCTAATGAAACACAGCCCTGCTTGTGCAATCCTTGCAAGAACTCCAGAGAAGAGGAAGCAGAAGGAGCAGACCTAGCTGCTTCATGCAGAAGTTTTCTGCAAAGGGAGGAGTAAATTATTCCCTCTGCTGGGAACAAGCGAAGCCATAAGCTCGAGCAGCATGTAGCAGGATGAATACCAATGCCAGCTATTACACCATGGAATTTTTGGTGGGTTTTCCTATGATTACACTACTTTACAGGACTGTGTCTACATTAACACTAATCAAAGCCCAACATTAAGCGCTCTGTGAGGAGCAGGTGATCTAAGATGGCTTAGAACTGGGCTACCAAAGGAGAGCCTTGGAGGTCTGATAAACAAAACCTCTCATTTTGCCCCTTCCTCAAAAATAAAATAAAATAAAATAAAATAAAATAAAATAAAATAAAATAAAATAAAATAAAATAAAATAAAATAAAATAAAATAAAATAAAATAAAATAAAATAAAATAAAATAAAATAAAAATGGGGCACTTCTGTCACTTTTAGTTCAACGCCTCTCGGGAATGACCTGGTCTCAGTTGCATTGGGTGCTACCCAACATGCACCACAAAATGCATTTGTCATGCCCCACTGGAATAAATTTGGGAGTACAGACAAGGCCCACCTGGAAAACACCCATGTTTTCCCCAAAGGGCTCAGAAACAGATGAATTATGGACAGAGGTGGCGGAGAGGAGCCAAGGTGTCCTGCACCCCATGCCTGTGGCTTGATGGAGAAGCCTCCCAGCTCCTGTGTTGTTCTTGGCCCCAACATGATGTAGCTGCAGGCCCACGCAGTGCAGGGAACTGTAGGCTGCACGCATTAAATTCGCCCTCTCCCACAAGCTCTTCAAAAAAAAGAAAACACCCAACCCCAGAACAGCAAAGGCAAAAGCCAAGGAGAAAGACCTTGGGTGGCAAAACCACATGTTTATAGCCCTTAGGCTTTGACAGATCGTTGGCTTGAGAGCACTTCTAGTTCCAGGGAAGTAAGAGGCAGCCAGCTCCCAAAAATATGTCATTGCCAGCATTTCGAGAGACACATTTTTGGCAGGCCAGTCACGAAGACAGGCCCCTTGTCACCGCA